CAAGCTTTGCGTGCGGGGTTTCTTTTTGGCATCAGATTACGGTATACGGACAGGTGCCTCAACCCTCATCCGCGTTTCGCGCCGGGCTGGTGTATTTTCCGATCACACCACGGGGTCGGGGAAGCCACATTCGGGCGATGGCTTTTGTGCGGATCTTGCTTAGCCTGGCGATCTCGGGTCGGCAGTGCACCTGGCCACTGGCCACTTGCACAAATTTCCGGGTGTGTTGTGATCTCGCTCAAACCTCAATAATAAACCGCATGCTCCATGCACATCCCCCGATCGCGAGCGCATCAGTCGTGCGAAAAGTTCGGGTGGATGGATGAAGAAGTCGCGCCACGCGCGCCGATTCGCAAGTTTGGGAATCGATTTTCTCCCTTTCTTTAAGCGCGAACGCTGCGATTTCTTTCTTTTTAAGTTTCCAGGTCGCTCAACGGTGGTGTGTCTGTCTAAAGAAAGAAAGAAAGAAAACAGACAACCCAAGGGAGGGATGGGAGGACGGCACGCCGCCACCACACAGGGATTTTAAGGAGAGGTGTGTGGTGCGCTATCCGTCGCCCACCCTAGGGAGTCTGCCTCTTCCTATCTCTCTTCGCAGTCTCTCGCCGATTCTCGCTGCAACCTTCATGCCACCTCGCGGTCGTCCCACCCTCGTCGTTCTCTCCCTTGTCACTTCCTCCTCTGTCGCGTCGTTCTCTTCTGTCTGTCTAATTAATTTTGTATACAGGTTCGGATTTCTTTTCTCCCGACATGAAGTTTCTCTCCATCCCGATGGACGCGCGTGCCGCCGCCGAAGCTCTGCTCGAGAAGCGTGGGGCAGGGCGGTACAGCCTCGGCATTCTGTGCCTGTGCGGCTTCGGGTGGATGAGCGACGGCGCCGAGAATGTCGTCCTCTCCTACATGCTTCCCACGCTCGAGGACCTGTGGTCGCTCTCGCCGGGCCAGCTGGGCGCCATGTCGACAGCCATCTACTTTGGTCAGGCGGCGGGCGCCACCTTCTGGGGTGCGCTCGCGGACGCCGGCGGCCGGCGGCCAGTCTTCCTCCTCTCCCTCGCGCTGACCGTGCTCTTTGGCGTCGCATCCTCGGCCGCGCCTGGCTTCTACACCTACTGCATGCTCCGACTCGCCACGGGCTTTGCCATCGGAGGCGCAGCAGTGCTGTCTCGCCGTCCCGGCCGTGGCCCGTCCCGTGACGCCGGTCGTCCGCCGCAGGGAACCTGCCCCTCGCCGTCTCGCTCGCCTCGGAGCTGCTGCCGCCCTCACTTCGCGACCGCGGCGTCGTCGCGCTTCAGCTGTTCAACGAGATTGGCAGCCTGGGAAGCACCGGCCTCGCCGCTCTGCTGCTGCCCGGCCGATGGCGCCTCTACCTCTGCCTGGTCGCGCTGCCCGCGGCTGCGGTGCTCGCGGCGGCCGCCTTCGCGCTGCCCGAGAGCCCCCTCTGGCTCATCTCGGCGGGAGGGGGGGACGA